GCTGCTGATCGTTCTTAGCTCTGAGTTTTCTTTGGCTCGTCCCTTTGGCTTGTGGGAATGGTCACTATCTCTGTCTCTGGTTCGAAGAAGGTCTTCTATCCCGCGTCCTTCAGAAGTGGATGTGTTGTTTTCTTTCCTCGTTCTTGTTTTTGCTCTTCCCTTTGAAAGCCCTCTTACGGCTGATCGCTTTCTTTCTTCAGTTTCGTAGAATCTGTAGTTTCCTATTGGATAGGTTTTTTCCCTCAGATTACCTCCAAGTTCTTGCCTCGGAAGGCCTTATGCTTTGCTTTCCCATTCTAGAATTCTCTATTAATATGTTGCTTGCCCATCGTTGTCTTTACGAGCCTTTTCAAATTGAAAATCGACGTCTAAAGATTCAACTCACTCTACCTAACCAAGCCTAAGCCCAAGCGCAGACCTAGCGCTATCGAAGCAGCCACTTCATCCCTTGCGTAAACCAGACTAAGTAGTCCATTCCGATGTTCTGCCTCATGCCACTGCAACTACTCGTAGCAAGTCCTACATCCTCGATGCTTTCCGCGCCGAGAAGCCCTTGTAGCTAACCGGTTTGCTCAACATAAAGAAAAAAGGCGTGTTGTTTAGTATAGACTAGACCTAGCTGAACCTTTTTTTCTAAAATATTAGGTTGTCTTTGTTCTTTTCGGTCAATCAAACATAGAGTTAGTAAGTCCAACAATCAATCAGAGCTGCCGGGCTCAGCGAATGCAGCCTTCACTCATTCTGGGCCTTCGGGCCCTTAGGGACGACTCCAGTCAAGCAATACAAAGAATGACATTGACCGGCCAGATATCACGTAGAAAAGACAGATCCGACCCCTCACGGGGAGCTACTACTCGAAGGAGTAGTTCGCAGAGCACTATTTCAAGGCTATACGCAAAGGAGCTGGGGGCAGCTATCTGGGCTATTTAAAAGGGAAAGTCTTCTTGCGTGGAAAGGGACAGTGCGGGCTACTATTACTAGTAAGGCTGCAAAGACAGCTATCTTCTCCTTGCTTGCTCCCTGGGGTTCCCCCAAAAGCACCATTCCCACTAGCTACGAGGAAGAAGAGCTACCTAGTCTCAACCAAAAGAAGTTGTGGACTCAGATATGATGCTCGTACAACTATTTCGATTTCCCTCGGGAAGAGACCCCTTCTTGGCCCGGTATCCTTTTCCCAGTGGAGCAGGAGTTTCGTTCTTGGCTTCGGATATCATTCCTAGTGCTCTCATCAACTAGGCAGCCAATCAACTCCTAAAGTCCTTTCCTATCCCAGCTGATATTTCCTTACGCTTTCCGTCCAAATCCCTGAGCTATTGAATGTAGCTCCTTGTTCTTCGTTGTTGGTGTCTTATGTCGGGAAGGGCTAGCTCGAATGCTTTACCGAAGCAATAGGGAATAGGGCGCTAGAGCACGGAAACCTAGAGAATAGCTAGCCGATTCGCCAAAATTCTTGAGATTTGCTTTACAAGCACGTTGCACAATGAGATAGGTCTGAACTCCTCAAAGACCTCCGGTTATCAACCTTAGGGATCAGCTCAAGGAAAGTGGAGTTGACCCATTTGTTGAGCTCTCTCATGTTGCAATGAAGCCTTACAGATTCAGATGATTTAGAGAAGGGCTTCTGGTTGAAAAAGAAGCGTCAGCAACCTGAAGAGATCGGAAAAGGCTAGTCAGGGCGGATCAGCATGCCTCATATATACATCACATCGACGATCGCCTGCTCTAAAGAAGCTATATCAATTCACAACATTTGTGCCAACCTCTTTTGTTTTCCCAACCACAGGCGCTCTCTCTATGGCCTCATCCAAGGGATTACTCCCCATTTATCTTCCCCAGCAAACGACTCCTTCACTACACATCTACGGTAGCTTCAATGTGCCCATGGGCTAAGGTGGAATTAACGATTCAAATAGGAGGAAAAGGGAGGGCAAATAAACTCCATTGCAACCCAACTCAGAAAAAGGAAGGAAAAAGCTCCTGGACCACTAATCGACGGTTTATTTGCAACTCATGATAGGGCCGGTCAAAGCATCGAACTCTTACAGGTCAGTTATCAAATCCACTGACGAGCAAGAGCTCATGAAACTAACAAGTAGTTGATAAGGCGAGAGCAAGCATTATTCATAAAGTCAAGGTATCAGTTCTTTCTTGAATCGAAGAGTCAGTTTAAAGGAATCAACTTGAACAGAAGCTACTTTCCTGTCCCATCCTCTTTCTATATGCTTGAAGTTCAAACTAAACTATCAGAGGAAGGATGAACTTTAGAGCAACTGCTTCAACTCAGTTGTAAAGGAAGACAAGAAACTATCAGAGAAGAGCAAGCAAAAAGACGGGAAATTTGGTCAATTCCTTCATTTAGTATTGATTTTCCCGCTTCCCACCGGGAAGTTGATAAAACCCGGCAAAAAAGGAGACTTGATGAAATCAGTAATAGAAGAAGTGCTTTCCGATGACTTTTTTGAAAACCCCCGGAAAATGAAATAAAAGCCAGTCATAGTAATAAAATAGCCTTTTACTCCGGAAAATGCCACCCGCCTTTTGGCTAAAGAATCTCTCATTGAATTCACCAGCTCCGGCTGAATGAAGGGGAGGAAGCAAGTTCTCCTCAAGAATGAACAATTTCATAAAGGAGGGTTGTATCAGAATATTCTACGTCTTCAATCCCTAATCTGGCAAGTCTTTTCCAACGGTGTTTACTTCTTTTCATAGTCAATCAGAGTTTTGCTAATGTAGTACATAGCATACTGATGAATCAACCGTGGGTGGAGATCCTAGAACTAATAAGCAAATCAAGATTATTGGTGTATTCGTGGAAAAGATCGATCCTAGCATTGACCCGCCGGCTTCTCCTTGATGGAGAGATGGCTTGCTTTATGGGCTTGGGGTATGGAGAGGCGATAGAAGCTGTGAGTTTTCCTGACCCTTTGAGTATAGTTGTAGGGTTCCAAACCCCACAGCTCTAAGGTGAGAGTTAGTGCTATATGAAGTGGTTGAATTCAAACACTTCTTGAAGGTGGCAATCTAGCTTACATGTTGCATATTGACTCTGTCAGAGTAGAGTAGTCACTAGGAATCTCCACTGCAGCAGCCGCTCAAGCAATGAGACAGTGAAAAAGAAAGAAATAGAAGGTAGTTAGGAGTCGGAACACCCGGCACATTAGAGGATTGGACTTTGGCTTGTTTTCTTAGTCAGAGAGGGCCCATCTATTTTGACTTTATCGTCGTCAACCGATCACTCTCTTTCTCGTAGCGTCTTTCCAATTCAGGACAGACTGCCTCTCCATTCCATTCCCGCTACTAACACTAAGTGAAGTCAGACGAGTTAGTAAAAAGACCCCGTGGCTCTTAACGCGAGGAGAAAGCAACTAAACCTCCACAGGTCACTCACCGGATTAGAAGGAGACAGCGGATGGAATTGGACTACCAAACTATTAATATTAAAAGGGCATCTGATTGAGTTGGAAGATCCTGTTCCTTCTAGGACTCCCCCTCGTTGATATTCAAGTTCGAGGTGTGTCGTCTTCGGATTCCTATCTTGATCCATAGCTCAGTTCCGTAAAGACCTGGGTAAACCCTTTGTATTCGAGGCGAGGGAAAGACCACCTTCAAGAAAGACACACCCCTAGTTACTTTGTTTAGTTGCACTAACTCATTTATCTTAGATGATGGTGAACCGGATAGGGATCCATTCAAGCAGTGGAATCCAATCCGGTTTGAAAGAAGAACTGCAGCTCGATTTGAGATGAAATCTGGCAATAACTCTAGGGCAAGTTCTGTACCAGATAAGAGTTTGGAGTTTCTCTCGGAGGACCAGCGTAAGCATTGGAAGACAGAATGCATTCGAGCGTTCAACGAGGGGTTGGCGCAAGTTGATCCACAAGGCAGATTGGTCGTATTCCCGAAAAGGACATCGTAGACGCTTTGTGTGGGGGCATCCGGATCGGGTATTCATAATCTGGAGTAAAAGGATTCGAACCTTTGCATGCCGGTACCAAAAACCGATGCCTTACCACTTGGCTATACTCCATAGGCCTGTTTTGGCCGGTAGGAACGTGGATGGGGGGAAGGGAGAAGGAGGGCTCGAAGAAGGAGCCGTGCAAGGACGCGGGGATATAGCGACGGTTCTCCCTTTAGGACCGACGTAAACAAGCTCGCGACTCTAATAGAAAGAAAGGGTAAGCTCTCTATTTGCTTGCAATGCTATGCCTATCAAAGAAAGTAGGCGAAGGCTTCCTTAGCGGCCAACTACTCGTTACGCTGTTCGACTTCACGACTTAATGTTTCATGGGGCTCCCCGTCCACCGAAAGTCGGTAACCTTCGTCACCGTCGCTCTATTCCAAATCCCGCAACCAACCCTTTATTATGATTATGTCTTTCTTTCTTCAGGGCTTGCGGTTCATTACACCAAAAGCTTTCAGTGAACTATTGGAAGCTATCGCGAGAGTACCAAATGCTGACGTGACGCTAGAATATGAGAATAGAACCCCCGGGAAACGACTTCGACGTTCCCCTTTGTAAGTCAAATAGGCATATAGGCATGGTTGATAACTAATTCGAGTTGACATGAAATGGATCACGGAAGAAGACGTATCTGATGAATGAATGATTCAATTCCCTCCCACTCACACGGGTTCTTCTATGTGAGGTGGGGCGTACGTAAGAGCGGAACCTAGATAGAACGCGGAGCGCCGGCCCCGACCGCCGATACAGTGACCATGCTTACTAGCTCTTGTCTTAGTAGTCTTCCTCTTTTCTGAGTGTTAAAACGGTAGATTTGAATGACCAATGCCGATTCGATCAATAATGGGATTCTTGGCTAGAAGAAAGGTTCTGTGACATTGACGCCCAACGCGGTCGGTTTGCCCGCCTAACAGATGATAGATTCTCGATCGATTTGATCGAATTTTGCAAACTCTTTCTCACTATTCAGAGATTATTCAATAGGATTCTGAGATCGACGATCTTCTCCCCTCCCCCGTTTGTTTTAGCAACAACTCCTAAGGTCTCCTCACCAAGAGCTCGCCGGCGACGACAGAGGAAGCAACCCGCCTGCTGTGGCGGGGCGGCTTTTTTCTTTCACAATAAGACCTGGACGATTATCCCTACCCTCGGCAGCTTACGAGTTTACGTCCATCCCCGGTCGGGTACAGTTTCCTTTCGATTTCTCCCTTGTAGCCGTTACCCGAATTCGCGCAAGTGTGTCCACACCCCCCATTTAGAGGAATCCATTCTCGCGAACAAACACAACCCCTACACACACCTAGGAGCACCCCTTCCTGCATATCCATACAAGACCCGAGTAGGCGGGTCGAGGTCCTACGAGGTACCCACTACTCTACGTACCCTCCCAAAAGGAAAAAGATGTGTCTGTCAGGTTCGGTTCTTCTTAGTTGGGTTGGGCGGGTTCGACCAGAAATGCTATGCTTACACACAAGACTACCCCTCTTCCCGAAAGCTTCGCGGGGACTACTTTACGACGACGGACGACCGCCCGTAGGGGGTTTACTGCACAAGGCCCCTGCAGAGGAAAAGCTTTATCCCAGCGAATAGAGGATGCTCAGCTCCGCACAACATAGGGATTGGCACACTTTCGGGAAGAACATAGAATAGTAGAGGATCCAGCATGCAGAACACGGCGATCATTAGAAATTCACGAATTAGAGATGCTGTAATATACTCTTTCCCATAACTTCTCATACCAGACCAACCCACTAAAATGCAAATAGGGATCAGAAATGTGGTCAATATCACGCAGAATAAAGAGATACCGTCTATACCCAAATCCAAATTGATGTTTTCATAAGGAAGCCATCGAAGGCTTTCCACAAATTGAGATTTGGCCGTAGAAGGATCGAATTGTATCCGAAGAACAGGGGGATACAAAAAAGTAATAAGAGAGGCGCACAGACCAATCAATCGTATCGGTCGTATTCTTGAATTTGGAATGAAAAGAGGAGTAATGCTTCCTAGCACGGGAGAAAGAATAAGACCACTTAGATCAAAATACCATTGTTCTAACATAGAGTAGAATCGAACATTGAAGAAATGAATTGACAACAGTCAAAAGATGGGCGCCTAATTCCAATACAATAGGGGTCTATCAGTGCAAGTCAGCTGAACACCGTGATTGATGAGTGGGTAGGTGGGTTAGGTGCACCTCTCGCCCAGTGGGAAGTAATGAGGCTAGTCTCCCCCTCCCCCCCTGAATGAAAAAGTATTGGGGCCCCCTTCCCGCGTATGCGCTTTTATTTTCTTTATTTTGAATTTCCAATAGAGAATCTTTCTAACTCAAAAAATATCTCTGGCAAAATGCAATTCGTCGAGTTCAATCCAAGGTGCACCTTGCCTTTTTTCAGGTAGCTTTCTTACGCCTATTCAGCTAGTGGGGCATTGGTCATAGCCGAAATTCGTCGAAGGGATAAAAAGAAGAGAAAGAAAGGAATGCCAAGACATAGAACAATGGGAGTTGAGTTGAATTCAATCCAAATAAATAAGAGAACAAAGAAAGCACTCAAAAATGAAAGTTAGATCAAGAAGTGTCAGTAAGAACTAGCACGTCACTTCTTCCCCCCTTTCTACTTTTCCTCTCTCCTTTTGTCCTGTAACCCGGGCTTTTCATTCTGTTTTATAGAGACCCGAGGAGGAAATTATTGACATCCAAATTCATGTATAAAGGTGAGGATGGATGGAATTCAGCTTTTCTTATGTTATGAAGCTCGGGTGGGGAATATTGACTCTTCCTAATGCGCTATGGGTGAAGGTGTTACGTAGTAAATACATTCGAGATTGGGTTGGTCTTCCTCAACCCGTGGCCAAAGGAATTTTCAAGGTGTGGGATTCTATTCTTAAATCTTAAAGGGATTCAGTGGGTAATTGGCAATGGGCGGATTCCAAATTTATTGAAGGATTCATGGTGGATGAGGAATAAAAAACCTTGATAAAGCTATAGCTGCAGTTCCTCAAGAGGACTTGTCAAGATGCATGGCTTCTTTTTTTTGATGAGAATGGGTGTTGGAAGTGGGATAAATTTCAGCATCTCTTACCAGCGGCATCGTGTCTTAAAAAAGCGGGCATTAAGCCGCCGAATCAAAGAGGTAATGGTGATCGAAGGGGACCATCAAAGAATGGAACATTCTCTAGTTGCACAGCTTATGAGCTCATTGAAGGGGAAAATTGGGACCAACGTAGCAGGGAGTGGGAGATTGTTTGGAAATGGCAAGGGCCTCGCTTAAAAGCTCCTTTGGCTTGTGTTGCATAATAGCATAATAGATAACAAATAACAAATGAGCAGCGGAAACGAAGGCATATGAAAGATGTTAGCACCTGTCCAAGATGCAAGAAAGCTGAGACTACTATAATGCATGCTCTTAGGGATTGTGAGACCATTAAACCTATATATGGCTGCGCACGGTGAAAAAGCCCCGCCTAAAGCTACAAAGCCTAAGAAAAAACGAAGAGGTAGGCCTAAAAGAAGAATATGGAGCCAGAGGGAATGGAAGCTGCTTCCACCTCAGATAATCCTCCGGACTCCTGTTTGCCATTTAGTCTCTCTATTTCCTGTCGCCGTTCGATGCTTTCGTCACCAAAATCCCTATGTACATCTTCTAGCACTTCCCCGGCCTTTTTTACTCAATTACAGCCATCTCAGGTAGTCGTTTTTCGTATGTGCAAATTCTCTTTAATAAACTCCTTAGATCTCTGGGTCAGGTCAGACTCCGATAGTTTCTATTCCTTTATTATTAGTTCGGAAAGAGCTTCTGGGTCAGCAGAAGACCCCGTTGTATATAAAATCATTGTTCGAAAAGCAGAGAATAGATTAGACTAGCGGATCGCTTTCTTTAGGTTGAGTTGACAGCTTCGCTAGAGATTCTTTTTTTAGGGCTGCTAGAATGCGGTTTGTGGTTTATGTCACCTTACACCAATCAAAGGAAAGGAGGTGAAACGTTTGAAAAAGATGCCTTTTCGGCTTCGCGGGATGAGTCTTTTTAACCAGTCCGCCCTGTAAAAAGCAGTTGAACCTCGTAGCCTATATATTCATAGAGGAATGAATTTCTTGAAAGGCTTTCCCCTCCCTCCTAAGGAGGGGCCATTCAGGGGATACTTCTGCTCATGAATAGAATCTTCTACTTCAAGAGAATCCACAGCAATCGATGAACTGAGCCTTATGATTATTGCTTCTTGGAAGGTTGATAGCTATGTCTTGAGTACGTGGTTCTGTGAGTCAAATAGGATCTTTGAAATCTACTTTTTTGTGACCGCTAGTGGTAGACTGCCTTTACTGACTAGCCTCGCCGCTAACTCTTGCTAACTTCTTGCTGGAGGGCCTCTTGCTTTCCGTCTTGAGTTGGCTTTCCTACCTGAACTACCAAAGCGAGAACTAAGGCAGGTCTTGCTTACACTAAGAGTAGGAGCAGACCCCCCTTTCGATCTATCTCTAATTGCTAGAAAGAAGAAGCATTATTGATAGAAGAAAAAAAGCCTCTAATGCTAAGATCTCTAACTCTACTATTGCTATCAATAGAGGAAACGTAGCAGTTCCACTATTCCAATACTGAATTCAGAGTTGAGCTCCTTCCTTCCATTGACTTTATCGTCTTCTAATGCCAAGCCTCAGCCAGTTCTGGTACTACGGATATTGCTAGTTGAGAGCCTATAAGAATAAGAGAGCCCTCCCGTCTTACTAGTAGCTTTAGTCCTCGCCGCAAAGCATCTCTTTTGGATTCAAGAGAGCATGCCTTTATGATTTATGAATAGACCTAGGAAAGAGATAAGCCAATTCTCCAAAGCGGAAGAGTACGTGTCATTGGTGACGGCAAGGACACCAATCTATGGCAATCTGCTTGGCTCAATGGTTATCCCCCGCGTGACCAACCAGCCAGGATCACTCCTTCGCGACCTCTTACTCCCATCTCATCCCATTGATTAGCTTAGGAACGAGAAGATAAGCTTTCACTAGTGAGGGGTGCTAAGACCCAAAGGAAATCCGGAAAAAAGAGTGGCGCTTTGACTAAACTCGTGGACACGATAGTTCGCTCCGTCCCTTTCGAGAGAAATCTCTATTGCTGGAAGGTTGTCTAGATCTTTCTTTTCAAAGTTCTGTTAGGTTCTTAGTAGCAATCGTCGACCTTTTCTTCTTTTACTTCACATAGCTTTTCGTCTCTTTGATAGCTGGAAGTTCGGAAAAAGTATGAAAAGCTGGAGGACTTTGTACCATCCATTCCGGTGTGGTTGGATTCTGTTCAACAGCCCAAGGACTTTCCGCACATCTTTTGTTCTTTCCACTGCTTGAAGTGATTGTTACGACCACGAAGAAACGACAAATCCCAACTACGGATATATAAGAGCCAAAACTGCTAAGGGCATTCCATCCAGCGTAAGCATCTGGATAATCTGGAATGCGACGTGGCATACCCGAAAGCCCTAAGAAATGCATAGGAAAGAAGGTCAGATTAACCCCGAAAAAAGTGATCCAAAAATGGATTTGACCTAAAGTTTCAGGGTATGTCCGACCAAAGATTTTACCTACCCAATAGTGAAATCCTGCAAATAAAGCAAAAACGGCTCCCATAGAAAGTACATAATGGAAATGTGCAACCACATAATAAGTATCATGTAGAGCAATGTCTAGCCCAGAATTTGCCAGAACGATTCCCGTGAGTCCTCCTATGGTGAACAAAAAGATGAACCCTACAGCAAATAACATGGGTGTTTTGTATTGTATCGAACCCCCCCACATGGTAGCGATCCAACTAAAGATTTTGATTCCAGTGGGGACAGCTATGATCATGGTAGCTGCGGTGAAGTAGGCGCGGGTATCAACGTCTAAGCCCACAGTAAACATATGATGAGCCCAAACAAGAAATCCAAGGACGCCTATACTGATCATGGCATAAACCATGCCTAGATACCCGAAAACCGGTTTTCCCGAAAAAGTCGAAACAATATGACTTATGATACCGAATCCGGGCAGAATTAGGATGTAAACTTCAGGGTGCTTCTCTCTTCGTATAATAGAAGCGGATGAATAGAAGAAAGGTGGACTATATCATCAACTTATGTAATTCCATTTGTCTAGGAAAGCTAGCCATGCTTTATGGTGAATACTGTCAGGTTTAAATGCTTTGAGATCGTAAAGACTGTAATATTCCTCAATAAGGAAGAATCGTCGTGATTTATGACTTCGGAAAGTACTTGATTTAAAGTAATCTAGCATCATGATAACATCTTTTCGACTTTGTACAGACCAGTTATAGTAACCATTTTGACTACTAGAAAAGTGGATATTTCCTCCAAATACTACCTTAGTTGACTCTACATCTTGTAGAAGTTTATTAGTTACTCGAATACTTAGTTGAGGTAGTCGATTCTTCATAGCGATACTAATGGTACCATCAGCATCAAAGAATCCTGCAAACCAATTTGATTGAGCATCTAGTGTAATAGGTAGAATTACAGGGATATCCAGTACTTGACAGACACGATGTAGTTGAAGTAGTCGTGCTGAATGTTGAATATGACCATTAATACAATTCATTAGTTTAATCATACCAAGTTGATTATGTAGTCGATAACGAGTTGCTTTAGCACCTGATCGCATTTTAATACTTCCATCAAGCATATGTTGGATATATCGTAGTAGTCGTAGATCTTCAAGTCCCATAGTAATTTCAAGAGAAGTATATCCTTGTTTACTAACTTGAATACTTCCATCACCATCGATAATTCCAGCTAGCCACTCACAGAAGGATTTAGGATAAGTTGTTGCGCATGTAGTCTCTGAGGTTCCTACTAGACTGCTTTTATGTCGTTGGTTACCTGCTGATTGTGTCTTAGATACTCCATTTTGACTAGATCGGGGTTTTACTAGAAAACCACTTATGAACATAGTAGGAGTCCCATTAAGCAGACAGTCCCAGCATACAGCGCAATGCGTATTCAGATTTGAATCTGAAAAGGGCCATTTCAAACCGAAGAACCGAAAGAGATGCTGGTATAATATTGGGTCTCCCCCTCCAGCAGGATCAAAAAAGGTTGTATTAAAGTTTCGATCAGTTAATAACATGGTAATTGCCCCTGCCAGTACCGGAAGTGATAATAAAAGTGGGAATGCTGTCACTAGAACGGACCAAACAAATAGGGGTGATCTATGCATAGTCATTCCAGGTCCACGCATGTTGGAGATAGTTGTTATAAAATTGATAGAACCTAAAATGGATGAAACACCAGATAGATGAAGACTAGAAATTGCTAAATCAACTGCTCCTCCAGAATGGCTGGTAATACCACTTAAGGGCGGATAGACCGTCCACCCAGTTCCGCTACCCACTTCTACTAAGGCTGAGCTTAATAGGAGCAAGAGACTTGGTGGCAACAACCAGAATGAAATATTATTTAATCGTGGAAATGCCATGTCAGGCGCACCTATCAGAATCGGAACAGACCAATTACCAGATCCACCTATCATCGCCGGCATAACCATAAAAAAGATCATTAAAAAGGCGTGAGCCGTTATTAAAACATTATAAAGTTGATGATTCCCACCAAGAATTTGATCGCCGGGTCGTGCTAATTCCATACGAATCAGTACTGAAAAGCATGTGCCCATCACTCCAGCAATGGCACCGAAGATGAAATATAGAGTCCCTATATCTTTGTGGTTAGTGGAGAACAGCCATCGGACCGGATTTGTCATAAAATGGAGATTCTTTCCTTTCCTTCCTTATCAGAGAGGGGCCATTTAAAGTTATGGCTTATGAAGCGGGGCTTATTTATTGAAAAAGGGTCCGTGAGGGGGTTTTGGGGAAGGTCCGGAAAGCCCAACCTTTATTGATGGGACATTTGGATCCTCTTTTCCTCTCACCCGGACCCGGTTCTGGTTCAGGAAAGGGTCAACGCAAGGATCTTACTTCGAAGCAATCTCTGGAGTTTTCCCTTATCCGAACGGGTCTTGCAAGAAAAGAAAATTGAATATTGAGCGGAAAATATACGCTATTGGGATGGGATGGCTCCTACTAGCTCCCCCCCCTAAGAACCGCACGTGCGAGTTCCCCCGCATACGGCTCAAGTGGCGGAGGCCTTTCCTTCGCGCTTGGTAAGCGCTTCGCTGTAGCCAAGCTTCGACCGCGACTGCTCTAAGCTTTTGGCCGCCTTATTCCGTCACCCGAGATCCAAGTCAGCACCGGCAAAGATCTCTTGATTCCTCGCGGCCGGGCTTTCTAGTGGAAAAGGAATCAAAACCTCTTGCCTATCTCACCCCCTTTCCCCTTTGAAGTTTAAGGTAAGCTTCCCCTCCTTCCTCTCCCCTCGGTCGAGCCCCTAAACTCCCGAGGGTTAGGTTCAAGGGATCGGTCGAGCGGCTTTCGCCCCTGACTTCTTTCTTCAACCAAGGGTGAGCCTTCGCTTTTTGGATCGTCTTCTGCCCAATGCGGTATCCCCGTTTTTTGGTTCCCATTGGGTTTACCTTGTTCACAGGTCGACCCCATGGCAGCAAGAAAAGGCGATCTTGTGCTATACTCCGGTGATCTCTTTCCTACCGAGGCACGCAAACTCCCATCGTGGCCCAGATCACATTCCGTGAATCGAAAGGGGAAGCCTACTCATCTATCAGCTCCTCTCGTAGATCGGTGCGGTTTTACGAAGCGTCTAAGCACAGTTCACTCACGTTGATCAATCAAGAGGTTTGCCGCCACTCCTTAAGGTTACTTCTATCATACACTTCTTGCATTCTTTCCCACGCTTCATACCCCCTCTTTCTTCTTAAGGTAAGGTAAAGGGCCAGGCATGGTGGGAGGAAGTCGGCAATCTTTTTGGCTTGACCAAGAAGTCTTATGTCCTCCGAGTCGCACGGCGTTTTAACCGAAAGAACTTCTTGCGCAATTCATGCCTTTCGGTTTTTATGACAAAAAATTGGTTCTTGATTTTCATTTCAAATTGTTCTCTGGACTTTTTATCAATATGAGGTGATCGTAACACAGTATATAAGACTCGTGATTCAGGCAATCCAATCCGCCTTGTGTAAGGCGGAAGCCCCCAAAAATGGTTTTCAAAAAATGGGTGATCAAAAGATTTCATTACTATGCCTATCTTGGTGGTCGTTACTTTCGGTGATCTTTCTTTTTGGCTGACTCCTCTTCTTCTTCTATTGATCAGAAGCATCCAGCAGCGCCACGCCGGTTTTGAATGAGATTCTAAGGGCTAAGGCCCGGGGGCATAGTTGATCAAATCGAGAAAGTTCCCAAGATCCTCAAAGAACCAACTAGTGGCTCCCCTTAAAATAACATCATAATAGGTATCTTGGAGATGTCCTGGGATTTGAAGAGCGTCGTTTCCCATAACAGTGCGAATAAGATCGGCCATGTTCCACTCCGGCGGGATTTGTCTATTCGACAATAGAACCAACTCTTCGCATTTCTTTTCTATTTCAGCAAATAATTTTTCGAATTCAGGTGGAGCGCTTTCGACCTCGGATGCAACCAACACATCTTGGGCACTCTTGTTAGCCATCAACTCCCACAACTTCTTGCGTATATCAGATGGAAGTTCCACTAGACGTTCACTGGAAGGGTGAAGACCAGGGTGGTCCTGAAAAATCCCTTCCCAAGAAGAAATTTTATGCGAAAGTCTATCAATAGACATCAAACTCTTATGACTCACACTATCAATAGACATAGATGAACTTTTCTTTTCCATGATCAATTATTCTTTTCTATTCCCTCCATACAGCTTAACGAAGCTATATATATAGAGTATAGATAGAGTCTAGTTCAGAACGAAAAGAGAGTTCTTTCTATTTTCCTTGGTTTTAGACTTTGATCTAGGGGATCTAGGGGATCTAGGGGATCTAGGGGATCTAGGGGATCTAGGGGGAAGAATGAGAATTTACGGAACACAAACCCAACCTCGTCTACGATTGCCCTTTCTCTCTTTAGGCAGGAAGATTCTTGGTTTCTTCCCCAGCTGCGGACCCGCAAATCACTTACTTCCTCAGACCTTCCCCCTTCCGCTTTCCTTCTTTCTGTTTTTGATTGAGTTTCTACGGATTTAAACCAGTTCTATTTGGATCTAAGACCACCTTCCTTCCTTAGAAGGCGAACATCTCATGCATCTTTAGAACCATGGAACTACCATCTAATATGGGCGAACGCTAATGCACGCTATATCTCTTAGTAGTTTGGGTTTCCCATGAGGGAGCTCACTCTCTGTATAGGGAATTAGGTAACGAAGGGGCGACGACGAAGGAGAAGGTAACAAGTATCGGAGCGAAGGCTAATATGTTCGAAATAGTTGTAGTCGCGACGAACGCTCCAGACTATGGCGATTAGTATCGAAGATGGTTACCTTCTAAAGCTAGGGAAAGCCCATCGTTCTATGTCTTGGCATTGCTTTCTTTCTCCGAGTCGTGTAGGGCCTGTTCAAGTTCCGCAGGAGTCGTTTCGGTTGGAACTTGGACGCAAGCAAGAAACTTCTTGAATATATCCTGATGGGCGGGAGAGGTCTGCAGCAAGTAGGCGAGGCGAACTATGCTTTCTATCTTTCAATCGGATACTCATTGCTTGGATGCCTTTGAACTCGAGATGACTTGCAGAAAAAATGCTTTCTAGGTTTGTCTTGTGTCTCCGAAATAAATGGTCCATTTATTGATGGGCGAACGACGGGGATTGAACCCGCGCGTGGTGGATTCACAATCCACTGCCTTGATCCACTTGGCTACATCCGCCCCTACCCCCACACAGGTTTCAGTCTCCATCTACGATCAGATCCTTTCTGAACGTACCTATGACTGCTATCAAAGAGAAGCTTTTTCCTATACTATAGTTGCAGGTCTATTGTTGTCTTTCGGAATTCTTAGGGGAAAGAAAGCTTCAAGAAGTAGAAGCTTCCTGGCAAAGCTTCCAACTGCAGAGGTTGGGCTGTTCACTTCATTGATTTGACTTCACTTTACTTAAGATTAAAGATAGGGGCCGGGCGGGCAGTGAAGGCTCATTTAGTAGACAGCGAGCGAGCAGCAAGCACCTACTCCTATAAAAATGAAAAGCAGCAAGCGGAACTTGACGAAGCCCTTTTCTACAAACCTTTCTAGTTTAGTTTATTAAGAGAAGCTCGAAGAGCTTTCTTCGCATGCTTGAGCGCCTTTCTATTAGTAAGGTTCTCAAAGGGCTAGCGATGTGACCGATTCATAGATCTTCATGCACTACCATGTAATATGTTGGGCGACAATAGAATGCATGCCGGAGAAAAGTCAAAAGTCTTCCGCGAGATGTAATGTCCAGGAATCTGCTTGGTTCGAAGGAAGTGCAGCAAGTACTTGAGAAATTCTTGAATATCATGCCCCACGACAGATATACTTACCGACAAGATCAATAGTAGAAGAAGGAAGGGAATGCGCTGGTGCCTTGGGGCAGAAGCTTCGGTTTGCTTTATACTAAGGAAAGTGCATCTCATGCCATGGTTCTTGTTTGCGTATCCGCGGTTGGTCAACTATTAGTTTCCGCTGCAAGTGCTTGAGAAATCAACTCAACCAACGAGTAGGTCGTGCTGGTCTGGAATTCCGTTCAAGAGGAGATGTGGAGATTGGTAAGATCGGAGTCCTGGGCTGATAGCAGTGCGTATAACGGAAAAGAAATGAAAAATTATGCTCCGGTAGTGAATCACCTACTCAAAAAATGGGCAGGCCTGCACGCCTTTTTTAGACTACTTTTAGACTACTAAGGCAGGCGGTGGACTCTTTCATGTTGGAAGGGGAGAAGGGGCCTAAGCACGGCAGATGCGCCTACTTGAGTGGCAAAGGATGGAT